AAGATCGACGCCCGAACATATTGGTCCTTCGAGCCGGATCGAAGCACGAGCGGAGGTGTGACGGACAGGAAGCAAGCCGGTCCTCATCATGTCTGAGCAGCTGAGTAGACTGCAACCCGTGCAACGGGTCATCGAGCGCAGCCTCGAGAACTTCAAGAAAATCGGAAGGAACAACCTGACCCCTGCGACAATACGGTCCAGAATGTCCTGTCTCAAAGAAACATGGATCTCGTTTATGAACAAGCACGCAGAGTTGGAGCGAGCCACCCCCGAGGCAACTAGGTCATCAGTCACCTACTTCAAGGACAACCACTTCGACAAAACCAATGACGCCTACGAAAAAGCCCTGGACTACATGGCAGAGTGCCTCGAGGCCCTCGAGCCGGCCGTGAGTCTGAACCAATCGTTTGCGAATGTTAGTGTACGTCCGGACACCAACGGTTTTTCGCTATCCCATCTTCCGCCCATTCGATTACCTCCGTTCGACGGTAATTACGACGAATGGGACCAGTTTCGGGATCGGTTTACGGCGTTAATTCGCGAGAATAAAGATCTCGACAACTTTGCTCGGATGCACTACTTAACTTCGTGCTTAAAAGGCCGCGCTTTGGAGAGTATCGCGAACATTGCTATTACCGCTGCTAATTTCCCGGTTGCGTGGAAAACTCTGACATCGCGCTATGAGAATAAGCGTCGCTCCCTTCATGTACATTTCTCCACGATACTTAATCTAACGCCCCTTATACGCGAGTCGGCTTCGGAATTGCACGCTTTGCACGATAAGGTCAACGTCGCGGTAGCATCATTAGAAAATCTTCAGCGATCCCCGACGGAGCTTTGGGATGATATCCTCGTTCATATAGTCGCGCAGAAGCTCGATCCGATCACGCGCAAAGCGTGGAATTTGAAGGAAGGCGACAACGACACTCCGCCGTCGTACGCCGAGTTTAAGCGCTTCTTAAAATCGCGAACTCGAGCGTTAGAAAATTGCGCTCCACCTCCCTCCGTTAAAGCGTCTGCGAAAAACGCGGCTGCGCCGCGAGTATCCGCCGCTACTGCTTCGACAAGCTCAGCCGCGAAGTGTCCGCTGTGCCAAGCGCAGCATTACATAAACGCGTGCCCGAAGTTTGTCGGGGGGAATCCGAGTCAACGTCGCGATCTAGTCAAACTACATAAAAGATGTTTCAATTGTCTCAGCGAGAAGCATTCCGCTCAAGCGTGCAATAGCAAATTCTCGTGTCGTGTGTGCCATAAAAAACATCATTCCATGTTACATATTGACTCGAATTCCTCCGCCGACCCGTCGGGAAGCGTCTCGACTACCGGCTCATCACCTCCCGCCTCGGACATTAATCCCGAGGTACACTCTCTATCGGCTTCTACAACGCGTACTCGATCGTCGGTTCTGCTGGCCACTGCCTGGGTCACTGTTCGCGTACCATCCGGTCGGTCCGCAGTGATCCGCGCGTTGCTCGATCAGGGTTCCGAGATGACGTTTATCTCGGAAAATCTCGCGCAACTGCTGCGGGCCCGTCGGTGTCGCATGCCTATCTCCGTTACTGCCGTCGGCGGCATTCACGCCGGAACGTTCCGTCACGCGACGCAGATTTCGATATCACATCGCCAATCTCTTACGCCGTCGTTCAGTACAACCGCGCTCATTCTCGGCTCTCTCACCTCGTATACCCCGAAACGAAACACGGCGCCCTCAACACTCTCTCATCTCGAAACCCTGTCATGGGCAGATCCCGACCCGACAAGTCCTGATCCGATCGAGGCTATCATCGGAGCGGACTTATACAGTAGCTTAATTCTCGATGGCATTAGGAAAGGCGGTGTGGGACAACCTATGGCGCAGAACTCCGTTCTCGGATGGGTCATTTCCGGCCCGATCAAAGCAGACACTGAATCTCGGTCGTCGTCGACGCCTCATTCGGTTACTAGCTCTCTCGCTAATATCTCCTCTTATCATATTTCCTGCTCTCCTTCTCTCGAGCAAGAACTTCGTCGATTCTGGGAAGTCGAGGAACTTCCCCAGCGCCAGATTCTCACGCCGCACGACAAACAGTGCGAGGAACATTTCAGCTCCACGCACTCTCGCGATTCAGACGGACGCTATGTCGTGCGTCTCCCCTTTAAGAAAGGCCCTCCGATCGAGATCGGTAACTCCCGAGTCCGCGCCGAAAAAATGTTGAGCACGCTGACCCGTCGACTCCGCGCGGATAAGCCGCTCTCAACGGAATATCACTTGTTTCTCGCGGAATACGAACGACTCAATCACATGAGACCAGCCGTGTTCTCTCAACGCGACGAGGAACAATCCGTCTACATTCCGCATCATGGCGTTATTCGGGAGGGCAGCGCGACCTCCCACATTCGCGTCGTATTTAACGCTTCGAGCGTGACTTCCAACGGTACGTCTTTAAACGACCATTTGATCGCGGGACCGAAATTACAAAACGAAATCACTGCCGTAATCTTACGTTGGCGTCAATATCAGTACGTCTACTCGGCAGATATAGCAAAAATGTATCGCCAGATTCGCCTCGATCATCGTGACATCAATTATCAACGCATTCTATGGCAACCGTCAACTCGTGAACTTCCGACCGATTATCAATTACTAACGGTGACTTATGGAATGTCATGCGCGCCTTTTCTTGCTCTTCGCGTCTTAAAACAATTAGTTCAGGACGAGGGTCATCTCTTCCCGCTTGCGGTCCCCGTTCTCCGCGATAATATTTACGTCGACGACGTTCTTTTCAGCGCGAACGACGAGCATCTAATAAAACAAATACGGGATGAGGTAGTCTCTCTTTTGAAACGCGGTTGCTTCGAAATTTCGAATTACGAAAGTGGGCGAGCAATTCGTCCTCTTTGCTCTCTGATATTGACGGCGCGGATTTCGGCTTGGCTTGTAATAAGCAGCTCGCTCAAGACGAGCAATTGAAGATTCTCGGAATCGGGTGGAATCCGGCCACCGATGTTTTTGAATTTCGCGTGTCCCTCACGGAACTCGTTCCAACTAGCAAGCGCGCTATTCTTTCAACCATCGCGAAACTTTACGACCCGTTAGGGTGGGTAACTCCGGTGACTATCACAGCAAAGATTCTAATGCAAACCTTATGGCGATTAAACCTCGATTGGGACGATACTATCTCCGCGAACCTTCTCGATAAGTGGAAAGAAATTTACCAACGAATCAGGCTCCTTAGCCAGTTACAGATCCCTCGCTGGAGTGGCCTCGGCCCGGATATCCGTCACGCGGAGCTCCACGGATTTGCCGACGCGTCAAATGTCGCGTACGCCGCCGTCGTTTACCTTAAAGTCGTTTCCCCTTCAGGCTCTGTCACGATTACGTTGCTCGCCGGTAAAGCCAAGGTCGCGCCGTTGAAACCGCTGAGCGTACCTCGTCTCGAGTTATCGGCCGCTTTGCTTCTCGCGCGACTCATGGACTTCGTTCGCGAAACTATTGAAGTAAAATCTCTCCCGTACTATTGCTGGACGGATTCCACCATTGTGCGTGCGTGGGTCACTCAGCATCCCTCTCGATGGAAGACGTTCATCGCCAATCGCGTTCTGGAAATTCAGTCTCGCCTTCCACACGGAGAGTGGCGGCATGTGCCAACCGACGAAAACCCCGCGGATTGCGCTTCGCGCGGACTCTTCGGTGATGAGATTCTCGTTCACGATCTCTGGTGGCGCGGTCCGCTATGGCTTCGCCTGGGGATTGACGACTGGCCACGTCAGGAAACTAGTCTCCCGCAAGATGCTCCTCTCGAGGAGAGAATTGTCGCTCTGCAGTGTTCGCCGCCGCTCCCGGAATGGGATTTAGCATCACGTTACTCAGCGTGGCCAAAGCTTATCCGCGTTACCGCATACGTTCTCAAGTTTGCAAGCCTCTGTCGTCAGTCTCATCCTTGTCGTACGCCTCGCTCATCATTGTCCTCCAGCTCACCGTATGATGACCGCCCCTCGCAAAGTACGGCGATCACCGCCTCTGATTGCAACGCTGCTAAATTCCTGTGGCTCAAACGAATTCAAGCGGAGTTATTCCCCAAGGAAATCAATTCGCTCGCGAATAAACGGCCTCTCTCTTCGAGAAGTTCACTTCTCTCCCTTAGTCCGTTTCTGGATAATGACGGAGTTCTGCGCGTCGGCGGGCGGCTTAGCCAAGCGCCTCTTCCCTTCTCTACTCGCCACCCGGTACTTCTGTCACACCATCCACTCGTTACACTCATCGTGCATCAGGCTCACTTACGAGCGTTGCACGCCGGACCTCAGCTCACCTTAAATATTCTTCGACGCGAGTTTTGGATTATTCGCGCTCGCACTCTCATCAAGTCTGTCATCCATAACTGCGTTACCTGTATTCGCGACCGCGCCGCGATTCCGACGCAGATAATGGGAAATCTTCCGGCAGCCCGAGTCACGGCGACCGCTCGCAGTTTCGCGCATTGCGGCATCGACTATGCGGGACCCGTCCGAATTCGCGCTTCCGCGGGGCGAGGTATTACCTCGCGTAAATCATACATAGCACTCTTCATCTGTCTCGCCACTAAGGCGATACATCTGGAGTTAGTCGGAGATTGCTCCACGCAAGCCTTTTTAAATGCCTACTCGCGGTTTTGCGCCCGTCGCGGGCTCCCGCAAACTATGTACTCGGACAACGGGACCACGTTTGTCGGCGCTGATAGAGAGTTGACTTCGGCGTACCGAGCCGCAGTACGAGACCCGAATTTCTTAAACGCTACCGCCTCCGACAGCGTTGAATGGAAATTCATTCTCCCGTCTGCCCCCCATTTCGGCGGACTGTGGGAGGCAGGCGTGCGAAGCGTAAAGAATCACCTGCGTCGAGTCTTAGGTAATCACACGTTGACCTTCGAGGAATTCTCCACCCTACTATGCAGAATCGAAGCCTGCTTAAACTCCCGTCCGATTGCGCCTCTCTCAGATACCCTTGACGATTACGAATGTCTCACCCCCGGCCATTTTCTGATCGGATCCGCGCTCACGGTGAACCCGGAGCCATCATTGCTCAAGCTTAATGAGAACCGCCTTTCACGATGGCAATTAGTGCGACACGTCACGGAGCGATTTTGGAAATTGTGGAGCCAAGACTACGTGAATACTTTGCAGCAACGAGCAAAGTGGCGAAAGGTCGAACCGCAAATACACTCCGGTCAATTGGTACTCCTACGGAATTCGTCGCTCCCCCCATGCAAGTGGGAGCTTGGCCGCGTGACGCGCTGTCACCCTGGCTCCGATGGATTCGTTCGGGTGGTCACCGTGAAGACTGCCACTTCCGAGTACCAAAGACCTCTTGTAAAATTATGCGTCCTGCCTATATCGAGCGACGAGACAAGCACATAGGTCAATCCGGTCCCCGCTCGTTACGCTCGGCGAGTAACTGGAAGGCTTCGATCCTAATTTAGACTGTAAACGCTATGGCGAAACTTATAGCTAAGCATGTGAATGGTCGACGCCATGGCGGGCGGCGTCATCGCCGACTTCAAAAACGCCCTAAATCAAGCGCCCCTCATGGTGTCGATCATCGTCGTCCCGCCGCGCGTGCGAAGTTTTAGCCGTAATCTTACATTGTTTTTTTTTCTCTTCTTTTGTGTTCCTCCCTTTTCTTTGTTTTGTTCCGTGGGTCTCGATTGTTTCGAAACTATCGTTCCAAGGCGAGCGGTATGTTTGAGCGTCAAACGACGTTCCTCGGACCCACCGAAACCAAATATAATATGTAGCGGCTTCGACCGACCGGGTCGAGCCGACCGTTTAACTCGGGAACGCTACGCGGTACACGCCGTGCGCGATAACGACCAAGCGAGTCGAATCACCCGGGGTCGTGTTGTGATGTGCGACGCCACGACGACTCCGGGTGGAAAATAAAGCCAACGGTCACCGGAGAGCTAAACATTGCTCTCTTGAAAACAAAGCCCCGGTGGGCCTCTCTCGCCGCCGATTCCAACGATCGAGCGAGTTCGAATCGAGACATCGCCCGAATCCTATCGCTTCGCGATCGCTCCGATCTCGGACTTCAAAGTCAAGCCAATTCGGCTTTTTCAAGCATCGGGGTCGATCTGGACCGTCTTAGATTATCGGAATTACTGTTCCACGGTGCGAGTTCAAGTACATTGTAATTTGCCGTGAGCGCGTACGACGGTAACCACGACGCTCCGTCCAGTGAGACCGGACGCCTGGCCAACGCTGAGAGCGAACCATAACGAGGCTTGATCTGCTCAACCACCGGCAAGGAAGGCCAGGAAGAAGAACACCGTTTGCGCCGTAACTACGGCTCGTTCCTAGCGCCATTGTATTTTTTGGCAACTATTAAATTAACACTGCCCAGCAATTGACGAAAAGCGACTGGATCAACCTCCCTCCTCATATCCTCCAGCGAAGTCACGGCCTCGCGCTGTTCCAGCTTCGCGCTCAGTTCGTGAGCGGTGCCGGCTTCAGGGCGATCTCGTC